TTTGCTAATCAGTAATAAAGTCGTAGGTGTCAGCGTCGGTGCCGTGAAACTTTGATATAAGGCCACCTAAAACTGACTCTGGCAGCTGGCGAACAAGCGTGAGAGAAGTCCTTCGAGGGTAGAAATGGTCCGGTATTCTTCGCTGTCTCTCCACCCCCATCATTTGCTTGAACAGATTCCTTTCCTTGCTCCTCGCCTTCTCTTACTCAGCCTGTCTAACCAGACTCCTTCGCGGCGATAATGTGCTCTGTACATTCCTTTGAAGCAGTAAATTGATTTAGGTGACGGCGACAAAACTTGACGTGACGCCATTTTTAGATTTATTTCACAAGGCTTGAACGTGATCTTAGTTTCAGGGATTTAGGCAAATTTTTTGGGGGAGAATTTTTGGATTTAATATTCAAATTTGGTGGTTTTTTAAATTATGAGGTCTTCGAGAGTCACAGTTTTCAAATTTTTAGGTTCTTGAAGTTGAGAAGTTTGTTGATCACAAAATGTCAGGTCCCCAAACTTGGGAAGTCTGAAATTTTCAAGTCTAATTCTCTGATTTCAAGTCTAATTGTCTCGTTCTCTGTGAGATCCATAAATTTCTAACTTGCCAAATTCCCAAATTTAACCTCTAAAATTACCAGGTTACAAATTTCTAAATTTTCCAATTCTGAAATTTTTCCTCAGTCCTCAAATTACCTCCAAACTCTCAAACTCTGAAATTTTCATTCCCGCCATCTTTTCCAAAAGTCAAATTTGCTTCCAGCAAAACTTGAGATTAAGGTTTCTATAATATCAGTAGAATATCTTCAATGAAACTTCAAGCTAACAGATCAGTACACGAAGAGTCCAACAGACATAAAATAAATGACAAGTTTGAAAACAGTTAATCATCGAATTGGATGTAGAACACGTTCTTATGTGCTTATCGAGCATTAAAAATCCTGAACCAACAGATTTTATGGCGCTGTCCAGTAAGGCAAGGCTGAAAGCGGAGGGAATTCATGATAACCTGTTTGAAAGGGCCATAGGAGAGCCTTCAGTATTACCTCGTGACAGATTTATACCCGTAATATCGAAAGCATTAAGCGTTTGACGTATTGGCGATCGTAAAGTTTGAAGAATCATGAGATCTATCTTTGATTCACGGGCTGACATCGTTAAACACCACGCTGGCAGAAAAGTTCAATGACATCGGCCTTCATTTGCACGCTGCATCGTTCCTCCAAATGATAAACACACGTGGAAAATTTTTCAATTAATGCAACATTCGGTTTGTCGTAAAGAAAAAATTTCGAGTAGATATAATTTTATACAGGGGTTTAATTGTATACGGATTTGAGAGAATAGTACAAGATATATATTTTGTTAGATTTGAGATTTTTTAAGGTTAATTTTAGGAAAAGTCTTCTGGGGAGAAAGAAACATATGTTTGCACTCGGCAGTAAAATTTTAAGACTTAATTTTTTTATTTTTAAAGTTGGAGGTGTTGGGAGTTTGATACTTTGAGGATTTGAAGATTTGAGGACTTTAGAAAATGTACAAGTTCCAAGATTTTGAAATTTGGGACTTTCTAAAAATTGAGAAATAGTGAAGTCATCTATCATGTCATCAGTACAGTTGTACCAAGATAACATAAACACCTGTTAACACACATGTCCCCAATATTCCGTTCATCCCTCGAATCGCTTTATAGCTCTTTACCAGCGGCTCGTTTAGATCCCATTAAAGTTTAAACAAACGATCGAACAGGACAGAAAAAAGAGGCCGGAAAAAGGAAAAAAATATTAATCCGCGGAAATTTATCGTTCACGCAAATCTCTATTGCGTGTTTAATCCGTTTAAAGCCTCGATCCACGTCCCGTGCTCTGTTCGCGGTTTGACGTGCCATCGAACTACAGCCAACCAGCACAATGTTGGCTCGGAAAACTTTTAAATAGAAAAGTTTCGTCCCGCCATTCGTGATCTTGCTACTCGTTATCGTGGCTCGTTAACTCGTAAACGTTAATAACCGACAGGCGTCGTAATTCACAATTAGCGTAATAGAAGCACCGTCGACGTTACCGTTGGCCTTCACCCTTTTTTCAAAAATTTATCGGACACTCGACGAAAGTGGTGCGTGTGAAACTTTCATGAGTATCGTGCTGCCGTACTCATAATTAAATTCTACATGCAAAGAAACCCGGTGGGATATACGGGGTAATACGTTTCTCTGTGACATTACAGAAATTAATGTTTCTGTTTGGAAATTGAGGGAAAAAGTGATAGTAATGTTGTATGGTTAGTACTTTTCATTATTGTAATGTAAAAGTACTTGGAAGTAATTGGATAGGTTGATTAGGTGGTTTGAAGTTCGCGCCGAAGTGTGACGCATGCGCAGAACGCTTTCTCTCTTGAAGCCATGTTAGTTTATAGCGTAGTATTTTACTCTTTTCGCAACAAAACTACTGTACGTTTAATAAAGACTTCTTTCTTGTTGAAATATGTAGCTTCTTATATAGAAATTGAGAAGAAAGAAACTACGAATGATATACAGTTAATATCCCTCATAATTATAATATAAAAGTGTACATAAATTACGAGTAAGTTGATTAGATAGCTTGAAGTGCGCGGTGGATTACGGCGCATGCGCAGTACGCTCCCCCTACTCCCGACGCCATACGAGTTATTAACATAGCGTCTCACTGTTTTTGTAACAAAGCTGCTGTACGTTTAATAAAGACTTCTTTCTTGTTGAAATATGTAGCTTCTTACACAGAAATTGAGAAGAAAGAAACTACGAATGATATACAGTTAATATTCCTCATAATTATAATATAGAAGTACATATAAATAACGAGTAAGTTGATTAGAGAGCTTAAAGTGCGCTGTAGACTGCGGCGCATGCGCAGTACGTTCTCTCTACTCCCGACGCCATATGAGTTATTAACGTAGCGTTTCACTGTTTTTGTAACAAAGCTGCTGTACGTTTAATAAAGACTTCTTTCTTGTTGAAATATGTAGCTTCTTATATAGAAATTGAGAAGAAAGAAACTACGAATGATATACAGTTAACAAACCTCATAATTATAATATAGAAGTACATATAAATAACGAGTAAGTTGATTAGAGAGCTTGAAGTGCGCGATGGACTACGGCGCATGCGCAGTACGTTCTCTCTACTCCCGACGCCATATGAGTTATTAACGTAGCGTCTCACTGTTTTTGTAACAAAGCTGCTGTACATCTAATAGAGACTTCTTTCTTGTTTAAATATGTAATTTCTCATACGGAAATTGAAAAGAAAAAAACTACGAATGATATACAGTTAACGAACCTCATAATTATAATATAGAAGTACATATAAATAACGAGTAAGTTGATTAGATAGCTTGAAGTGCGCGGTGGATTACGGCGCATGCGCAGTACGCTCCCCCTACTCCCGACGCCATACGAGTTATTAACATAGCGTCTCACTGTTTTTGTAACAAAGCTGCTGTACATCTAATAGAGACTTCTTTCTTATTTAAATATGTAATTTCTCATACGGAAATTGAAAAGGAAGAAACTACGAATGATATACAGTTAACAAACCTCATAATTATAATATAGAAGTACATATAAATAACGAGTAAGTTGATTAGATAGCTTGAAGTGCGCGGTGGATTACGGCGCATGCGCAGTACGCTCCCCCTACTCCCGACGCCATACGAGTTATTAACATAGCGTCTCACTGTTTTTGTAACAAAGCTGCTGTACATCTAATAGAGACTTCTTTCTTGTTTAAATATGTAATTTCTCATACGGAAATTGAAAAGAAAAAAACTACGAATGATATACAGTTAACAAACCTCATAATTATAATATAGAAGTACATATAAATAACGAGTAAGTTGATTAGATAGCTTGAAGTGCGCGGTGGACTACGGCGCATGCGCAGTACGCTTTTCCTACTCCCGCCGCCATATTACTTATTAACTACCTCACTATTATTGTATCTGTTCCAAAACTTTTTTCTTATTAAAATATGTTTAAATAAATAACAGTATCGATCTTTTAACCTTATTTAAGCTGCATTATACTTCATATTAAATAAGAATCCACACTTTATTCTTTTGCACATACGATTCATGAAAGTGCGAACGTTCTTCAAACTTTTCAACTCTCGTTTCCGTTTCCAGGCCGGATGACCGTCGTGTTTATTGAGGCGAGAAATCTAACGAGCTTCACACGGAAGAAATTTCACGAATCTCAGCGGACGCCGATGGATTTTGTCAGGCGTGTTTTGTGACGCGACGAGACGCGGATTTCTAAGCTTCGTCGGCCATAAATCGACGATACCGTAGTTCTCGTATAATGATGGCTCCTTTACCGTTTCGAGACAAGTCCCCACCAATTCACGACTTTTGATCCTTCACGTTAAATCCTCGCCCGCTTTAAAAACTTACGGAACTCGATTTCTGCACGGAATATGCGAGCAACCTTTTCCCTCGTTCGTTGGGTCGCTTTTACGAATCTATCGACTTCGAGACGGGGGAAAAATTTGTAAATCATTTATAAGGCTCTGAATTTTAAAGCCGTAGCGGGGCTCGGACAGGTTATGGCCTTCGGCTGTCCCGACGGAAACACGATTTTTAAATTATCGACTCGCGTTCGAATGACAAAACGGATTATTTCTGTTCCTTTTTTCCCCTGTAATCTTATTAGGGGTGCACGTAAAAGCATTCGAAGCAATTCTATGAAATTTGGAAATTTTTCAAGATTTTCTGACTTGTTTCACCATTTCAAAATCGCAAATTTTATTAAAATATATTGTGTAAATATTGCACCGTAAAATTTTGTGAAGCTTAAAAAATTTGTAGAAACGCAAAATGCAATTTATGTTACTTTGATATAAATTTTATTAAAATATTTGTATTTATCGTGTAAATATTGCACTGTAAAATTTTGTGAAGCTTGAAAAAGTAGAACGCAAAATGTAATTTATGTTACTTTGATATATGAAAAAGTTAATAAGTGATACGAGAACTCACCTAAGGTCTCCCTTCTGCAGCGAAATCTCCTCGAAAAATAAACGAATCCTCTCCTTTAATCTGAAACAAGATAAATAACTCTTAAGCGACTGTTTTTAAATCAGTTTTTATATTAGTATTGAGTATGCAAATGAAAAATTACTCAAACAACGAACCGAGAAATTACCATTTCCAATGAGATCCTTTTTAATTTAACTTCCCGCAAAGTTCGTTAAAAAAATCGCAAGAAATACTTGATAAAAATGAACAAAATTATCCGTCGAAATGTAGAACCACAGGGGGAGATACAATATTGAGGTACTTCCACTGTAAATGCAGAGATATTACAAGTTCTGGGTAGACGTATCGTCAATATTCTCGTTCATTTATTTTTCACAAAGAGCAGACGGATGTTGACGAGCACGAATCGATTTTAACTTCAATACCAGAAAACTCCCGAGGAATATTTTCATTTAGAATAAATTATTGATGCTACTGTATCTATGGATTTATTTGATCAACGAAATGTCGCTTAATATTGGAAACGATGCTCGTTACACGCAGAATTTTTCATTTATTTCGTTGTTCTTTGATTGTTGAAATTTTGATCTGGGATGATATTTATGTGATTAAGTTAGGTGGAATATTTTTTATTATTGGTGACGTGATTTTTACGAATTTTTTAGTTTTAGGGATTTTCTTAATTTTTTTACATTTTAGGAATTTTGTAAGTTTTCTTAATTTCTCAAATTTTTCAAATTCTCAAGTTTCTCAAATTTCTTAAATTTGTCAAATTTTCCAAAATTCTCAAGTTTCTCAAATTTCTCAAATTTCTCAAATTTTTTAAATTTCTCTCAATTCTCAAATTTCTCAAATTTTTCATAATTTGTAAATTTCTCAAATTTCCTTAGATTATAAAATTTGTCAAGATTTGAAATTTTTTCAAAATCTGTGAATTTCTCAAATTTCTCAAATTTCTTCAAATTCTCTCAATTCTCAAATTTCTCAAATTCTTTAGAATTTGTAAATTTCTCAAACTTCCTTAGATTATAAAATTTGTCAAGATTTGAAATTTTTTCAAAATCTGTGAATTTCTCAAATTTCTCAAATTTCTTAAATTTCTCTCACTTCTCAAATTTCTCAAATTTTTGAAAGTTTGTAAATTTCTTAAATTTCCTTAGATTATCAAATTTGTCAAGATTTGAAATTTTTTCAAAATTGGTAAATTTCTTAAATTTCTCTCACTTCTCAAATTTCTCAAATTTTTGAAAGTTTGTAAATTTCTTAAATTTCCTTAGATTATCAAATTTCTTAAGATTTGAAATTTCTTCAAAATTTGTAAATTTCCCAAATTTCTCAAATTCTTCAAAATTTTCATATTTCATAAATTTCTTAGTTGTTACGACATTAAATAATTCTTCCATATCACTCATACTTTTCCACATAAATAAATTTTCTATATCCCTCACAATATAAAATAATTCTTGCATATGAATTATCTTTTCCCACACACTATTTTTTCCAAGAAAATGCAAACTTTTACATGTTCCTACATAAAACATGTCACTATCTTCCTACCTCCCCGTTACACAAATCCCGCGTCCGACCTCACCAATTTCGAATCTATTTCCCTTTCCTTCGTCCCACAGTGATTTGTACAATGATGGACAATCATCGGAAGATAATCGATGGATACGCTGCGACTTCTACGAACGACAAGAGACTCGTCGATTATCGATACGGCGAGTATCAGTGCGCAATTTGCGGCGTTGATGTAATGACATTCATAAATCCACGGGAGCGGATTGTGCACGCTTGTAACAGCGCATCCGTCAGGTTTATAGTTATGCACGGTGCGCTGTTGCCCTGACACGACTGTTAGGCATAGCGAACTGCAAACGCTACTTTGATACAATTACTGCAATTAAGCGGAAGCCACAATACTACGGAAATCATATCTGCATACTGGCTCGACACCGCGGTTAAATTCACTGCGTACAAACGACATTCCGAAATTACTGGATCCGGCTGTGATTTCAACCGATTGCTACGTTCCATGTAAACGCGCCGCCATTAATCGCGTCTTACGAAGCTCACGTTGGAGACTCCAGTTTTCTTTAAATTTTGTGCAATTATTAAGTATGTGCATTGGAATAATTTTGTAGAAGGAGAACGCGAAATTAAAATGATGGAGTAAACGTTTATTGAACTTAATTTGTATTTAATTGTTTGGTGATTGTATTTTAACTGTTTGGTGGTTGTATGTTAACAGGTGCGTTAGCTTTGAAGACCACAGGATTTTCTATGAAATGAAAATATGTGGTTTGAAGAAGACACATGTACGTATACGTATACAGGGTTACTCATAATTAGGGTAGGTCCCTGAAGTGGGAAGTAGCTGACGTGATTCTGAATAAGATTTCCCTTTGCAAAAATGGGGTTTGAAGCCTCGTTTTTGAACTATTAAGGAAAAACACGGACCAATCAGCGAGCGCGTAATCGTACGGATTGGTGAATTACCACGAGTGGAATTACTGCGTATGGAATTACCACGCGTCGAATTACCATGCGTCGAGTTACCACGACTTGAATTACCACGCGTGGGATTACTACGCGTCGAATTACCACGTATCGAATTACAACGTGTCAAATTACCACGTATCGAATTACCACACGTCGAATTACCGTGCGCCGACTTACCACGCGCTGAATTACCACGCGTGGAATTACTACGTTAGTGTAGGTCCCTGAAACTGGAAGTAGCTGACGTGATTCTAAATAAGATTTCCCTTTGCAGAAATGGGATTTGAAGCTCCGTTTTTGAATTATTAAGGAAAAACGCGGACCAATCAGAGCGCGAGGGCGTGCGCCGGCGCGAGACAGCTCCGCCTAGTGGCTGAGCGCGCGTAATCTTCGCGCTCTGATTGGTCCGCGTTTTTCCTTAATAATTCAAAAACGGAGCTTCAAATCCCATTTCTGCAAAGGGAAATCTTATTTAGAATCACGTCAGCTACTTCCAGTTTCAGGGACCTACACTAATTCTAAGACACCCTATATAAATAATAAATATTTACATAAAACTATAAAACTTCACAAATACAAAATTTTACTGTATTCATATCACTAAATTATCTGTTAAATTATAAACAAAATTTCAGTGATCAAGTTTGAAATTAAATATTGTCAAGTTCAATAAATCATTCTATTATTCTATTAACCATAACTATCGATTCTATTATCCTATTATAAAATACCGCTATAGTAAATTATTCTGTTGGTTCAACTATGATTTCACATTAATTCATCAAGTACAAAATTCATTATATTTTGGATAGTAATCACAGTCGCCATTTTCACAGCAGTATTTAACGTGTTAATAATTCTTACTAAAGTCTTGCTACATCCGTACTCACTGCGGCAGAAAACGTGTGAATAATATAACGTTTCAGAATTCTATATGGGAATAAATATCAAACATTATTTATGATATTTTAATGAGCATTCTTCATAGGAAAGGATTATTAAAACTGAAGCTTAAAACGAGGGTGAAAATACTGGTTGCGCGCACTGTCTGATCAATAACGGTGTCATACTACTTCCTTCACAATACCTCACATTTTCAGTGTAGTACATTTATCAAATATTTCGTATGGTTTTTCTTTTGATACCTTGAGAGGTGTCGGAGACTTTGTTATTTGATTTATATGAAATTTACAATGGTACTTTGTAGTATTTTTGTTTGGGAAAATAAATAAATTAATAGCATACTCATTTGCGTCTATACCAGGTATGATGGCATGTGAGATAAAATAAAAAATTTCCTTCAGTAAGTAAAATTCCCCTAATTCCTCTAAATGCAAGTTTGCAGTATTACACGATTTCCTTTGAAAAAAATTACAAAATACAAAATTTCAAAATTACAAAAAATTTCAAAGTAGTCTATTAATAATCTTCCACTATTATTTCTAAAAAAGTATACAGAAAAATTAAGACATTCTATCGACTTCTATCTGAAATCTTCAATTGCTCATTTTGTTCACCCAACTCGATTATACAACTAATTTCTCCAACTGCAAGTTTGCAATATTACACGATTTTTCTTAAAAAAAATTTCAAAATGTAAAATTTCAAAATTACAAAAAAATTTCAAAATACTCTATTAATAATCTTCCCCCAATAGTTCTAAAAAAGTATACTAAAAAATTGAGACCTTCCGCCAACTTCTATCTGAAACCACTTGCTCATTTCACCCAACTCCACTCCACAAAATGATCACACGAAGGTCCGTGATCAGGTGTTAATTAACCTGCATCCAGATTACGGATCGTAGCCGTTAAATCCGCGGGAACGTTAGATATATAGGGGGCCTTGAGATTGGCCTCGAGATGCATTATATATGGATTATGTCGGGATCAGTTTGCGAGTTTGATAGTAGGTCAGCGTAGTTACCTTGCCCGGAAGAGGTACGAGCACCGGATGTTCTTTGGGTAGGAGGACGGGTACCGTGGCGAGTAGAAGCGTCCGTATTGCCGTTTTGACTGTGAACTGACAAACTCGAGGTCGCACATCGTGCCAGAAACGAGCACACCGTCCGTCTCGAACAATCCTGGAACAGAAAGGGATGATAAACGGTTACGTGACATCACGTTCGTTACTTACCACATTTTACCCATTTCTCTAATCGCTCGCCATTTTGTGGCCAAATGTAACCTTACGGGGTCAGCTACTGTGACGTAGCTGTTCAACTTATCATCCTCGAGAAACCACATAAAGTACAATATATAAATTGTGGCAGCTATAGAGATGATGTCTAACTAGCTGATTATAGAATTTCTTTAACAAAACCACAAAAAAGCAACATAAAGTATAATATATTAATTGTGACACCTATAGAGATGATGTCTAACTGGCTGATTATAGAATTTCTCTAACAAAATCTCAAAAGAACAACATAAAATACAATATATAAATTGTGACAGCTATAGAGATGATGTCTAACTGGCTGATTATGGAACTTCTTTAACAAAACCACAAAAGAACAACATAAAGTATAATATATAAATTGTGACACTTACAGAGATGATGTCTAACTGGCTGATTATAGAATTTCTTTAACAAAACCATAAAAAAACAACATAAAATACTATATATAAATTGTGACACTTATAGAGATGATGTCTAACTGGCTGATTATAGAATTTCTTTAACAAAAACATAAAAAAACAACATAAAGTACAATATATAAATTGTGACAGCTATAGAGATGATGTCTAACTGGCTGATTATAGAATTTCTTTAACAAAACCACAAGAGAACAACATAAAGTACAATATATAAATTGTGACATCTACAAGGATGATGTATAACTGACTCATTGTAGAATTTCTTTAACAAACACTCAAGAAACCACATAGAGTATAACATATAAATTGTAACACTTACAAAGATGATGTCTAACTGACTCATTATAGAATTTTTTCAACAAACCCTTAAGAACCCACACAAAGTATAATATATAAATTGTGACACCTACAAAGATGATGTCTAACTGACTGATTGTGAAATATCCTCAACAAATTCTGAAGAAACCACATAAAGTATAATATATAAATTGTGACGCCTACGATGATGATGTCTAACTGACTGATTATAGAATATCCTCAATAAATCCACAAGAAACCACATAAAGTTTAATCTATATAAATTGTGACACCTACGAAGATGATGTCTAACTAACCTTAATGTAGAATATCCTCAAGAAATCCTCAAGAAACCACAGCAAGAACAATATATATAATTTGTGACAGCTTCTAAGGTGATACCTAACTAATCTTAATATAGAATATCATAGTACTCATCCAAGTTATGAATTTTGCTAGAGATATACTTATCAAGCTACTACAAATGCAGTACCTAATTGTAGACACAAGTACCAATACCTAATGGTAGCTGACTTTTGAAGTATCTTAACAGGACTTGAATAAATAAGAACTCAGATGTCTTGCAAGTTAAATATGTATATTATCATTTATTTACTACCCGTGATAAAAGAAGAATTTCTCACATACTACACCCTGTTGCAATACATTTTATTGAGCATCCCTTTGACCTATTTTGTGTATTAGGTCGAGTCATAAGTAACTTCCGTTTTTTTATCAGACATTTATTTCGTTCTCATTAAACAACAAAATTATATTATTTTATTATATATTCACCACTATTTTCTATAACCTTCTCCCATTTTCCTGGTAGTTTATCAATTCCTTCCTTGTAAAATGTGGTTGGTTTGGACTGGAAGAAGCTTTCAACAGCCTGCCTGACTTGCTCTTCAGAATTGAAGGTTTTTCCATTTAAAAAATTTTGTAAGCTACAGAAAAGGTGGTAGTCTGTCGGGGCAAGATCTGAGGAGTAAGGTGGATGTGGTAAAACATCCAAGCTCAAGAATTTTTTCTTGAGTCACCCTTGCTGTATGCGGTCGCACGTTGTCGCGTAAAAGAATGACATTTCTGCGATTGACGAGTGCAGGGCGCATTTCTAGGAGTTTCTCTTGCACTCTTTGCAATTGCTGAATGTATTTATCCGCAGTAATCGTTAAATTTGACTTCAACAACTCATGGTGACTTATACCTTCATAATCTCACCATACACACAATAAAATCTATTTAGCTGCATCGGAAGTTACTTATGACTCGACCTAATATAAAATACGTTGCAGAAACCTACCTGAACCTGGCACCCGACTTTCAAAAATTTTATTTCTTTCAATTGTATCGTATTTAGCTTCGTTTGTACCCGTTTGTACCACTTTTTATTTCGTTTGTACCCTAAGGGATGAAAAGTTACTAGGAGGTGAAAAATACCCCAGCACCCCACTTTAACATTTTTTATTTCTTTCAAAGCCATCATAAAAAGGGACGTCCGTAGAAGTTTGTACCACCCTCACTTTCGTTTGTACCCCAAGGGGTGCGTTTGTACCGCCTTTCGAAAGTACTCCCAAGAGGTAACTTCGCCATGTTTTGAGATATTTCAAATCTTCTTGCGGGTGCAGTTTGCTATTCGTTTGTACCCGTTTGTACCACCTTTACTTTCGTTTGTACCTCAAAGGGTTCGTTTGTACCGCTGTATTTATCCGCAGTAATCGTTAAATTTGACTTCAACAACTCGTGGTGACTTATACCTTCATAATTTCACCGTACACACAATAAAATCTATTTAGTTGCATCGGAAGTTACTTATGACTCGACCTAATGTATTAAAGAGTAGTTAAATGAAGTAAATTGAGAAGTGCAAAGAGTTAAAAAAAGTGATACCTGATTTATATCATAGAGTCCTAGCGACCTAAAGTCCTTTAGCATAGAATCCTAAAATTAGGTCCATAATTTTGAAATTAGCTGTTCGTTTGTATAAAACAGTTCGTCAGCAAAATTTCAGTAATTAAATTCATACAAATATTTAGAATACCATATAAGAGTTCACGGATCATAACCGGACGAATTAGCGTAGTTTGAGTGGATACAATGAAACTCTCCTGACGATTAATACCGAATAATTTCATTACAGTTTTCCGTACAGTTTAACTTATCCGCCCAATATCTGAACATTATATCGTGCTAGAGACGGTAATACATAACAACGAAATGTACCGGCGCTTGAAAGTTTGCCCAATTCCCGAAGGAACTTGCCGGATATTTTCCAGGCGCATTAGAAATTTTGGAATCCCTGAAACTCGACGCGCAACGTTTAAAATTCATTTCAACCGGAACAGAGCGAGAAAAGCTTTCCAAATTCCGACGCGTCTTTTCTCTAATTAGAGTTATTAAAATCTCTTCATTTTCTCTGATAAACACCGTGCTGGAGACTCTGGAGTCGCTGATAATGTTTTAATGGAGGTGTTTGAAAAGAACCTTTCAAGTTTTCAGGGCTGTAGGTTTCAAAGTTTTCGTGTCTTTTATATTTTCAAATTCATGGATTATTAAATTGAGGAACGTTCAAGGTTTTATACCTTCAAACTTAAATTTGCAAGTTTTAAAGTTTTTTTGGTTTGGTAGGTTCAAGGTTTTTAATTGGATGAATTTTTAAATTCTGAAAATTTTTGAATTCTGAGATGTAGAGTGCCTGTGGTCTCAAATTACTGGAATATCAAATCTCAAGATGTACTAATATCCATATCCCCAAATTACTAGGTCCTCAAATTCCAAATTTTCCAAATACCAATATCCCCAAATTTCCACATCTCCAAATCTCAAGATGTCCAATTACCTATTCCCCCAAATTTCCACGTCCCCAAATCCCAAGGTGTCCAAATACCTATTCTCCCAAATTTCCACATCTCCAAATCCCAAGATGTCCAAATACCCATTTCCCCAAATTTCCACATCCCCAAATCCCAAGATGTCCAAATACCCATTCCCCCAAATTTCCACATCCCCAAATCCCAAGATGTCCAAATACCCATTCCCCCAAATTTCCACATCCCCAAATCCCAAGATGTCCAAATACCCATTCCCCCAAATTTCCACATCCCCAAATCCCAAGATGTCCAAATACCCATATCCCCAAATCCCAAGGTGTCTAAATACCTATTCTCCCAAATTTCCACATCTCCAAATCCCAAGATGTCCATATACCCATTCCCCCAAATTTTTACATCCCCAAATCCCAAGATGTCCAAATACCCATTCCCCCAAATTTCCACATCCCCAAATCTCAAGATGTCCAAATTACTAGATCTCCGAATTCTAAATTATCCAAATACCCATATCCCCAAATTTCCACATCCCCAAATTTCAAATTATCCAAATACCCTTATCCCCAAATTTCCAAATCCCCAAATTCCAAATTATCCAAATACCCTTATCCCCAAATTTCCAAATCCCCAAATTCCAAATTATCCAAATACCCTTATCCCCAAATTTCCAAATCCCCAAATTCCAAATTATCCAAATACCCTTATCCCCAAATTTCCAAATCCCCAAATTCCAAATTATCCAAATACCCTTATCCCCAAATTTCCAAATCCCCAAATTCCAAATTATCCAAATACCCTTATCCCCAAATTTCCAAATCCCCAAATTCCAAATTATCCACCCTTATCCCCAAATTTCCAC